AGATAGAACGGCCTTTGGCCAAAGTCTTACATAGCCAACGGCTGATACAGGACTATAATGGAATAATAATAACACATACAAGGGTTGTAGAGGATACTGTAAAGTTTTGTACAAGTAGATCGATTGGCCACCGAACGTAAACTTGCAACAAGAAGTACGACTTCACGGGATCAGCCTTGGGAAAAAGTCTCGATGGATGAATTATAACTTCTTCTATCTGCAACCAGTCACTGTGAAAGAAAGCCTAAGCGGGACCTTGAATGCGAAGGCCCTTCTCAGGGATACACATCATTATAGAATCACGTGCCCAAGTGTTACATGTACAAGCTGCTGAACGATCGTGCTCCCAAATGCCAAATGTTGGCATACCATAGACTGTGACGGATACATCTTCGTGCATACCATTTAATCTCTCGAATACAAAAACATCGAGAAGAGTTTTTTTCCTATTGATTCACAACAAAACCCGAGGAAGGAGAGCTACCGCTTGGTGTGTCTGACCACATAACCGTTATTGGACTAGATCTCATGCAACTACCGCGAGGCAATGACATTGACATAATTAGGCAGGTCACGCACGCGCCATCGCTAATGAGGCTGTGTTAATAACCAAATATGAAGCTGCATATGTATCCACGGCATCTGCACCCGATTCTATCCATTTATGTCATAACCCACTAGCTGTGCATATATACGAACCCGCAGTAGCGGTTACTCATGCAATCACAACGCGTGAACAGCCACTCAAACTCCAGGGGATTGGAGCTGATGTCATCGGGGGCCACAGCCAAGGCATTCTCGGGCTTAGCCTTGCAGGTGCGTCGATTGTTGGGTGGTTTTCGCCCCTGCATGTCTTGAGCGAGGACGTGAGGGGATGCTTGTCGGTCGCGAGCCGCTCGTTATGTACAGCAGACGGCACAACATCAGCGATGCAAGCGATGCATGAATCAGGTTGGCCATGCATCTTGACTAGGGGGCAGTTTCGCGGCTTCGGCATGCTTGAGCATATGTATGTGAGCACCCAAAGAGTAGTGAAGTCCAGATTGACTGCATGAACGCCGCTGCTAGCGCTCTCGGTACGCAGAAGTCTGGGCTTCTGTATGGTGTTCGAAGCAGTCAGCCTGGTTTTACCCGCCCCATTGCTTGTGAGTGAATCTACTAAATGTGATGCGCCATGCCATACGGTTGCATATCCCTCCCTGAGCCATACATAGACCCTTGCTAGTCAGAAAGTAGTCTCGGTGTTACTGAGGCAGCATCTGTGCAGAGCCGGCAGACGAAAATGACACACGAGGACAAGGGTTGGGCGCCTGGGAAGTGTGAGTGGCACGCGGAAACGACACACGAGGACAAGGGTTCGACGCCAAGCCAATATCATGAAGTGGGGCATGCCCAACATCAGCCTTTCAGTCGGTGCGCCGCCTCATTTTCTGTATCAACACAATGCGATTACCCGATAGAGCAACGGCAGAGGAAGCGCGTATTGCAGCGGGCTATTCAGATCCTCAATGGCGGCGTTTTATTGTATGTTGAGTGTACCAAAAGAAGAGCAGTGTTAACCTGAGTAGGATATTACTAAGGACGTCGCTCGTGAGCTACGTGAGAAAGATCCTGAACTTCGTTGGCGCAGGGTTCCGTACAACCGAAAGTGCGAGATCACGGAAATGATCAACACGCAACTCGTAGGCGAGGGTATCTCCGCTATTACCATTGAACTGGTAGGATGGCGTATGAGCAGGGTGATTGGAAACCTAAAGTATGCAGAGGGTACGTGCATGAGTGCCTTGTTAAACTTGTGACTCTATGGTAACATATTGTAGCTAAGTCTACCCGATCTATCGACCATCCAATTGAAATGAACAGCGCTACGTACGCCGGGGGCGCAGATGGCGTGACGCCTGCTAAAGACGTTCACGGCGCGGCTGTTGAGGGTACGCGTACCTTTGACCCCATCCGAGACATCTAGAATCTTGGCTTCAAAATAGTATTAGTTATTGTGGAGATATTTTTCTTCGCACAGACGATAGGATATGCAACCACCTTAGCTAGCTCGTTTTCAACAATCCTGCGGGAACTTCTTTGATTGTATAAGCGCCGAAACTTGTCCAGCTGCTTGTAATGAACCCAACCCTTGCAGTGTTTGATCAGTGCATGGAAACCGAATTCGGATTGTGTTATCATGGTCAACCAGACCTAGCATGTGGCTCAGTACAGGGGACAGGTTGGTATGGACACGGATGCGTCCCACTTACTCGTGTATTTCCGCTTTCTATCCGCAATCAGGAGCATTATCATTCCTCACTGTATATGAGCTTGGTGTTGCGCTTTCTCATACTCTAAAAACAAAAATGGCTTCTTTCGAAGATTTGTACAACATCCATTACGAACACTTAGAAGAAAGCTTATACAGATTCTTTGCCTATTTCCCCAGACCCGACATCCTCCGTCCCCATACTTCGAAAAACCCATATCATATCTATTTGCACAAAGACGACCTCGAAGAACTCCAGCGTTATGAAATAAGTCAATTGGGTGGATCGATTGAGTTGAGGTATATTGCACGAACTTATCGACGTGTTCTCACTGAATACATGGAATTTATGGTTAGATCAAATCAACTCTTTAGATTATAGCCTTGCTAATAATTACTGATCTTATAGTCGCACCTGAAGAAGTACTTTATGGGCACCATTTCACCGGCAGATGCGTTCGCCACGTGGAAATTGAAGGGCCTCAGTCTCGACAAGCGTATAATAATACGAAGCAGTGGAATGCGTCATACTGTAGAATTATATGAAAATCAGCTATCGAGTAAACGCTTCCTTATATACGGATGGTCCATGTTACGGTATCTGGACGAACACGATATATACCAGCCGTATAAAAGAAATTCTCGACTCCTCGAAGCTGTCAGAAAGCACGTGATCCAGAACCCATTCCCGGAGGAAACCTCGTTATACGAGCAACTGGAAGTGATCGTAGAAGATCTGGTACGTTAAAGCCAGTTCTAAAACTTCTTTATGCTGATATAATTCCAAGAGCGATGGAAATTTGGAAGATTGTGGGCCATGCACCTTACACCGGCTGGACAAGATCCAAATTCTCGAACTGCTGAATTCACTGGCTGGGGGAACAAAGATAGACCTAGAGTGCGACCGGTCTATTATGGTAATAGAGAAATTTTTGCGTGGTGCATCTGAACCCGTCTACAACATGTAAGCCGCGCGCCACTCGGTATGGCCCAATGTCCTCTCCAAACCACCCCCAGGCTTGGCGTAAATCTAGCTGCGTCATCCCTGCTATTCTGTATCTGCACCTTTTGTATCTGTTACTCTTCTTCCGTATTTTTTGCATAGTCGTCCTAGATAAATGGGCGGATCGAACACCTCTTATCAGGATAACCTGATTGTGTTGTACGACACTAATAATATTTCTTGTTGTCGCATAAAGCAATCCATCCCCTCTATAAGAATGCCACCATAATCAGCGCATCATGTTCGAAAGCATCCGGCGCCTATGTCATAACCAACATACTTCCGAATCTGGCTAGTAGACACAGATGGCCGGTTTTCCCTCGTATCGAAGCCGCACAGCGTGTGTTCAGAGAATTTGATGCATGTATCAGCAATTATGCCCAACGAAGATAGGACTTTGTCGCAAATTCAGGTTGAGGACAAGGGCTACGATATCTGTGAGGAGAATTACAGAGCTACAGAGGCCATCATTCGATACTCAGCATATCAGAAGCTTCTCGAATAGCAGGAAGAAAGTATAAAGAAACTAGAGCGGGACACTGAAAGTAAGTAACGACGGAGTCAAAGTCTGGTCACTTCACTCTAACATGCGAAAGATTTCTTGGTTCCCTCTTACATGTATGAGGCGGTTATTGCGTACGACGAGCTACATTCAGAGATTACATGTGGTAACGCAAAAGGCCAGGCTGTATAGTTCAGAAAGACATATCTCCGCACTCAAACGGAACTCGGGGAGATTGCGAACGGGCCGAGAATATGAAACCAATTATGCCAGCTCATGCACTCAGGCTGGGTCATATGACATTGATCTCAACACTACAATGATTATTGTTTTCTAGTTCACTTAGAGAACCTCCTCAGATCGCTTTGCTGCACTCACTATTGATACTTTGATACCTCGATCTCGTACCCAGTATACCACAAGAGGCGTGTCAAGAACGAGATACGTTGGAAGCCCGCCGACCCGCTATGTCTCGATGTAGGGGAAAACGCCGCCATAGGATTCGACATGCATAATCGGTAAATGGGGCATGCAACGTAGCATTGACATAGCGTAGGCGCTATCATGTCTGATAGGCTCGATGCTGCCAATGGAAGATACCAGTAACCGCTACAGCATCGGCTGGTGGTTGTGTTAGCGAGATTGGGATTCTCATTGCAAGAGGAACAGGGGTGGGTTGCTGAGCTAAGTGGGGGAGGAGAAAGTGGATGCTGGTCCGCCAACTGTGTCTAATTTAAGCTCATCAGCCCCCACAACCTCTTCGCAACATGTTCAAATTTCAGGACATAGCCAAAACGTATCCTTCCGTTATATGTGACTGTCGTGTTATGCAGAATACATGTAGCAAGGGCGCAGAGTCAAATCAATATGCAAGAGCAGGAGAGGATATTGTTATCGAGGACCGCTGGTAGCGGCTTCTCGAAGAATGTTACGGGCCAATCCTTGATCTTTCCCTGAAGGATTCCGTATACTAGCCCAAAGTGTACAGCGTGAATGAAAAATGAGGGAAGAACGCGTAACAATATGTCGCGACAAGGGCCAGCTGCTCAGCCAAGATGCGTATGATGAGCGTCCTCACATTTCACTCTTGAAACGAGACATTTCTAAAGCAGACTGTAGTTTGAACTGTACAGGAAGTTTGAGACAAAGATACAATAAAGATAATGCAACTGGGGTCGAGGTCGAAAGGTGTTATCTATGTTGTTTAGCTAGATATCTACATCCAGCCATAGAGTTTGCCTCGTTTGCCTACTTGACGTTGGATTTTTGCGGCCCGCGAACGGTGCAGGTATGTCAAGGATGTTCTCGCCGCCTGATGCTTGGACCAGCTGCACTCCACGGGAACGTCGGAAGACATTGAATCATTAGTTCCATCATGCTAGACCCTATCCGATATGTGAAGGTGCCTTGTGATGCTAATGCATGAGAAGCGTTTGATTGCCGCGCGTGCGGAAGACCCAGGAAAGCGCACGGGCTATCAGGGCCAAACAAGCTCGGACCAGGTTGACTCCACAAGTCCGCTACAAGCCCCGCGCCATCCCAGTAACCTAGAGAACCCAGAGGACCTGGACAGACGTCGAGTTGTCAGACGCAAAGAAGTCATGCTACCGTTCGAGCTTAAGAAGAGTGCCAAAACACATGAAGCGCAGGAAAAATCAGGTTACAACAAACTACAATGGGATAGGTTCTACGTATAGCAGAGCACTGTCACTTTAACAAAGCGAATGCTAATCGAGATTGCAGAACATAACCAAGGCTGAGATCAATGCGCTGGTAGAAGCCAACCCAGGCGTCAACTGGCCCTCGGTGCCAGGCGATGTTTTGGCTAAGATCTACGATCGGGTCAATGCGCAATTGCAAGCCGAGAACATCCCCAAGGTCGAATATGACGTTTTTAGTTGGCGCATGGCGCGCGCAATCGGGTATCGAACAGGTAGTAAGTGTCGTAGCATGCCTTGGGACTTCGTGGTGGCTGACAGGTTACATACAGCCAATGGAAAATGTGGGGCAAAGGCTAATGGGATGGCTGCTGAGACGGCAGCCGCCGGCCACAACATGGATGCTGAGCAGCAGTGAGACGCATTGAGACATCAGTGGGTGCGGGTGGGCTAGTTGCATCCCTCGCCATCGCAAGGATGTCAATATTTAAGTAGGATCTGGTGCATGTTGAGCCCCACTATTGATTCCGTTCACAAGCTAGCACAAAGCCCCCCGGATTAACGAACGATTCTTTCTATTCCTATTTTCGTCTCTCGTAACGCCGTGTTTATTTATTGAGATAACAAGGGTTACGAAATGGAATAATAGAAAGGGGCAGGGTGAACGTGGGAAAATAGGCGGTGTATGAGGACTGGGAAAACAAGTGCGATAAGTCGTCGCTTACCACAGCCCATGTCTATGCAGGCTCCTGCACTATTGGATCTACACACTTTGTTTGCTTCTGCCACTTTTCCTAGGTACCGACGTACCCCGCATGTGTGCTATTAAATTTCCTCGGCCTTCCATGCCATGTATCTCCAGGAAATCTGACAAGCAACCGGCTTTTTCAACTTCATCATCATGGTCCTAGACTGGGTTTCCGCTAGCCACGAAGTGATCTCCATGATCAAACCCCGCTCTATTGTTGCTCCGCAACGTTCTACATATGTTCAAGACCCGTCAAAGGGCTTTATCTCGGTCTCAAATCCTTTCACAGAATGGGCTACAGTTGAGATGCTACGATCAAAGAAATGGACGGCAACGGATCAATACGATAAGGAGGCGGAACTGAATCGTGTGGCAAGAGAATTGGCAAAGATTATGGCGATGCTTATAGTAGGTTAGCTATCAACTCAACACCTACGCAAGCATTAACGCTGCTAGGGGGCCTTGAGGGAGCAACCCTTGCTCCCAGAACCTGAAATTGAAAAAAAGTTTCATAAGTGTGCCATATTGCCGTCAGGCATTCGGAGGCGGCTGTTCAGTGCTTGTCAGCACCTGGCCGATAACTGGAGCTCGGAGATAGACTACCATGATTTCATGGAGCCGTTGAAGGATCAGATTCGACTTGGGGATCAATTTGATGATGTAGACTGGGAGCTATTGTAAGTCCTACATTACACTACCATATAGCTACAAGATCCTAATAGAGGACGCAAGAATTCTCAAAAGACGACAAGAGCAATCGAGCAGAAGCGAAGCAACGATGGAAGCGGGAATGACAGTGGAAGCGGTAGCGACAGTCGTGATGGAACAGTCATGGAAAATAGCAGACGGAAACTTCTGTTTCCAAGGAAGCGAGAAGGATCCAGTACAAGAGGTTGAAAGATGAATAAGGCTCTCGACGGTCAAACTAATCGTGCCATATTTCCTCGAAATCTTCACCATCTGCCTTCTCCTCAACATCGTCATTCAGACAAATATTCGCATGTCCCCTGGCCAGCTCTACTAGGTCGAGGAAAACTTCCACATCCCGTGATCCAGAGATCCGAAATTTATAGTAACCAGGAGGCAAGTTAGATCCGAATCTACTGTCTTGAATGCTTAATCCCGTGAGTTTTCCCGAACGGGTGTTTCTACCTTGCGTGATCGTAACATTCTTGCCCAAGTAGGAAGTAACTTTGTGGCCCCAGTACACCTCCAAATCGCGTCTATTCATGTCGGGGGCAGCCAGTGCTTGGAGGCGGGGTAGAAGTTTCTTCGCAATTGCAGAAGCGAGACCATCATCATAGTGTAGTGCGAGAGAAACACTGCCCGCAAGGTCTAGAAGCTTCACACCAACAGTTTGGTCTTCGTCGCAACAAGTAGGGGTGTCCCCAAGATATACACGATGTTGTGCTGGAGTGAGCTTGATTTTCCCCTCGTCGTTCAATTTCAGGTTTCCTTTGTATAAGTCATCGAGCTGGTTCCAACATCGCTTGTCTAGTGTTGGCGGTATTGTTGCGTAAAGGCGATCAGAAGGAGGAATGTATGAAGGCACTGGCTGGTGGGATGGCGGAGGAGCAGGGCGAGGGGCCATCTGGTGCGATGGCGGAGGAGCAGGGCGAGGGGCCATCTGGTGCGATGGCGGAGAATTAGGGCGAGGGGCCATCTGGTGCGATGGCGGAGAATTAGGAAGTGAAGGAGGGGCCGGTTCGTACGTTTCAGGAGGAGGAGGAGGAGGAGGAGAAGAAGAAGAATTCAAATGTAGATCGGGATACATCATTGATAAAATAGATGATTATATAGAAGTGCTTGCTATCAGTTGGTGACAGTTAAGGTGAGGGAGAAGGGATGATGGATCAGAGCTGAACAGGCGCAGAATGGTGATACTTATAGCAGGCCTTAGGATTACGCACTCCTGATCGCTCGGTTGCCTTGTTGCCTTGTTGCCTTGCGTGCTCGGACTTCTTTCTATAATCTATGCAGTAGATGCATACCGCCACACTTGAAGAAGAGTCACCCTTGTCTGTTATCACAAATCCTTGATACGCCTGCATCCAGTCCAAGCGCTGTATTGATTCGATTGGATGAGAGAAGAGCAGCGGTGTGCGGGGCTATCTCAAACTTTTAGTTGCACGGTCTGTCACATGTATTGAGTCAGAGCTAATTTGATGAGGTATCAATGACATATGTTACACCGATGCAGGAATTAATTCCATTATCCTGGCTCTTCCAAAAGAGCCAAAGCGTGAAGCCTTAGTAGGAGTTCTTGCTCAATCTGACGAAGGGAGGTTTTCTCATAGTGCAGAGCAAGACAAACTTTTATCCGCAAGCCCAGTAACTCAATCCGCATATTATCGCCCTCTATTGTAATTTACCTCTCCTTTTCGCCTGAAAACAACAGATACTGAATAATACACGCATGGTCAATTGTCACACTCAAAAGTCACATTGCTAGCATTCAGTATGTTGTTAATTTTCTCGCCACCAAAACTCCTTATATGCTAAGAAAGAGAGACAAGACTAGAATTGAGCAATTTGTACACATCAACTTCTCTAGAGTATAACCGTAAGTTTGATGTCTATATCAGTTCGTCAACTGACTGGGTAATCTCAAGTCTACCAACGTCTGCAAGTGTAGATCGGATATTTGGGATACTGTAGAGAAGCTTAAAAGATCGCGGATGTATTAAAGAAAGGACCTGTGTTGTTTCAGTCTAAGTTTCTCTTGGTAAAAGGCTCGAAAGGGTGTAATGATAACGAAAAGCTGCTCACCATAGGTTGATACCATAACACATTGGTGATCCCCTTGTTGTTGCCAAATATTGCTATCGCACTGAAAGCGCTAGATAACAGCAATATAGAAACATTCGCGGGGAGAAACCAGTACGCTTTTAGTGTGTACAGTGAGGCAGCATTAATGCTTGCTCGGAAGCACCCGATGTTCTCTCTTAGCACTAATATAAACCAATAAAGATTCATAAGTGCACTTCCACCTATGACAAAAAGATTCAAGATTGCACTTATGCTTATATTAGGAACACAACCCAAGTACGATGATTAGTGGCTTACCTGTGTGAGTAAATCGTTCCACCAATTGCAAGAAAATAGATGACCATTGCTACAGCTCTTGCAATCCACCTATTTTGTGGCTCGTCATTATTGTTCAGCACTCCCCCGTTTTGGTGTATCTGTTTCTCTTACTTAATATTTATAAAGGTGTGGGTTACTGTTTTCCTACCCAATCGGAAATATGGATAAAACCGAATGTAAGCATGTGTAGCTGGAGTGAAAATGACCTTAGTTCTGCTAGCGCTGTGGCCAGTGCAGCGATGCAGGCGGCAGGCGGCAATGCATGGAGGGCAATGGCGAGGCGCATCGAGACAATTCTCCTTGCAGAACTCTCGGACCAATGCATTGACTCGGACGAAATCCGAGGAATAGAAAAAGTGGCTGCAATCGCGACCAAGAGATAAAGGCTTCGCATAACGAACAGAATAATAGAAGGTATTATGATCGATAATATTTCTGCGTTGAACATCATGTAGTAGATGTTTTATGTGAAAAGCAAGTCGCAGAACTCCTTATACTTAACGTCTACGGGGCCATTGCCTGGGATAGATTCCAAAAGGGGCTAGTCTTAGGTCAATAATCATATATATAAAGTCATCCCGCATGACTTAGAGGCGTCGCCGACTTGAACAGTTTACCTTGTAACGGCGCGTGACTGTCAGCCGTTCAGCAATTCTACCCCTGTTGCGGCACCGACCCACCAGCCGTTCAGCAGTCCTACCCCTGTTGCAGTACCCACCCACCGGCCGTTTGACACTTTATCCTTGCTGCAGCGCCTACCTACGCACCACTGTTCGTCCCCTTCTTTTCCAACACGTCTACCGGGTTAGTTCCCAATTCCGTATCGATATGGCTAGATCATCCCGCGCAGTTGCATTGGCAATTGAAGTCCTGATGGAAGCCCGCGATTCTGATATATCTAAGAAAGATGTCAAACGAATACTAGACAGGTTCTGTCCAAAGAGATCAGTTCTTGACCCTTCCTTAGCTCCTCTGACCGTGGAAGGGGTTATTTCCAAACTCAAAGATGAATACCAAGTATTTGTGGACACTGTTGAAGAGGCTAAAGAAAGCCCTGGGACTGCAGAGCAGCTTTGGTGCAACATCAGGCTGCCCTTGCAAGCCTGGGCAATTGCCAATATTCCATCGACCAAGAGGCGCGCTCTATCCGCTAAGCAACGGTACTACACCAAAAGCTATCAGACTTCCTTTGACATAACAACCCTCGATTCGGCACAGCTCAATTTCTTAATTGCGTTAGCGTATTTCCACATAGCACCCAGGTCACACGACGAAACTATCTTCCTGCAAAGCAAATTTGCCTCAATGATGCACGCCTGTTCGCTCGCTAGAACATTACTCCATACACATCTGGTGAGTGACAAGCACTTGGGTCCGGCGTTCTCGCAACCAGACCTTTCAATAATAAGCCAATCTCGTAAGTTAATATACACTATAATAGGCAGTAACAACTAAGTGAACAAAAGGTCCCACTGTGTACGACTCAACGACAGCCTGCCAAATATCCTCATACGCTTCATTTCCTTCCCAACACCAAAACAAGTACTCCAGTGACACGACAGCCAATATGGTTTATGCTATTGAAGCCGATCCGCAAGCTCAGATAGACCCGTGGGATTTGAATACACATCAGGTTCTCTGGAATGCAAACACCAACACCACAACCCGCCCAGATCTAACAACAACTGGAAGCACATCATGGCTCTGAAAAATCCTGGCGTTTTTTATAGGCTTTCCCCCAACTTCGAATTGGGGATTGTCGATTTGGTCTGCAAAGATAATGATATAGGAATATGG